CTGCTGAGTGCCGAGGAAAGCTTTCTCCTCTCAAAAATATGAGTTGAGAGATCTCAACATGGGTGTGATTGACACTCACAACTTCCAAAAAATCCCTAAAAATACAGAGAGTTGGCTAATAAAAGAAACAGGCTCTGAGTAATGACTTCTGGCTCTCTGGGAGGGCCAGGACTACAAGGGAACTACAAGGGAGCTCTTGTGGGCTGAAGGGACAAAGCATCACCCCCATGTCCTTGGCCAAAGCAACCCCACAGCAGCAGCTGTGGGAAAGAGGGAAATCAGGGGGTTGTGGGGAGGTTGGGACATGGGTACATCTCTGCTGTGTGCTAAGTGAGGGAGCAGGAGCTGGAGAACATCATGGGATAATCAGGAATTAAGATGTAAGTGGTGGAGATATCACTTCTGGCCACCCACGGAGTCATGTAGCCATGACTCATCCCCTGGTGCAGGAAGGAACGTAGCGTACCGTGCATCAAAATGGACAGGATCTTTCCGAGGAGAGATGATCTGGCATGGGAGACCTTTAAAGGGCTTCCATCCCAGCTGTTTATCCCTCCACACTGGCATGCCTTCTCCTTGATAAAATCAGGAAGTTATGTGTTAAATGAGTTACTTTTTTATTTCAGTCTCCGATACTCCTACTGGAAAGATCTTCCGATTTCCAGGCTAAAAATAATCATGGCCAGTTCCTACTCATTTACTTTTCCACTGTTGCCCTTCAGTGTCCCAATGCCTTTCCCTCCGCTCACATTTATTTTCCAGGATGTATTTATAGGCAGGAAAACATATTCCTTCTCCAGCCTCATTTTTTAGCTAAACTAAACAAGCCAAATTCTTTCAGTCCACAGGAGAAAAAGACAGATTGTCCTGGGCTCTGATCAACACCCAGCTCTTCCCTGCAGCTGGAATTCACCTTTCCTGGGCACAGGTGGTCACAGCTGCACCCGAGGAGTTGGGGGGCAGTGCCAGCAGAGTATTGTCATTGTGTCATCCCCTGCCCAAGCAGCTGCTTCTCTCACTCCATGTGCCAACGCTGAAATCCTCAACTGCTGCTTCTCCCACCCGAATGTCTCATCAAACAAGTTTTGGATTGATTTTGTATCAAAACAGATGACTCGTCTGCCCCCTTACTGGTTCACCTACACTTCTATAGAAGTAATAAGACCAAATAGTTTGTTTACTTCTCTGTTGTTTTTGGTTTTTGGGGGATTTTTTTATCCTCTTAATCATATGTAGCAAATCTGCTACAGAGAAAAGTTTGAAGGAATGAGGGATGCTTCCATTTATATCTCCTTGTACTGCAAATCAGAAGTCGAAGCTTAATCTGGGTGCTTCTCACCCAAAAATATGGGTCCCAGAGTCCTTATTTCTTGCTGCTGTGAGAATTAACATCCATATTTAGGTTTGAAAGTATCCATCAGGAGAGGGAGTTGATGTTATATATATATTTATACATGTCTTATGCACATGAAGTAATTTTGGTCGAGGGTTGGTTTTGCTCTTATTTATTTCCATATTCTTGCAATAGCTGAAGTTGGAAGAAAATAAGAGAATATCTTCAACACTTGAATGTGCTATTATGGGGATCTGTGGGATCCTGTTGTGTCTGATCCCACTCTATAATATTATAAATAATACCTGTTTTCTCTCTTTTAAGAACTTTGTGCCAGAGTTTCATACCAAGTGAAATTTGTCCACATCCAGGTGTGCATCAGGTGCATCCACATGGATCATGCCCAAAGCTTTGCTTTCTGCTCCCTTTCTTCTGCTTCTCTGCTACAGCATGATCCAACCATTTCAAAACCAACAGCATTTTTTTCAGACTTCAAAAAACTTTTCAGCTCTTTTGACGTCACCCAGAAACACCAAATACACCCTTCCCAGACAGCCTGTTTAATATATGAAAGTCCTCCCACTTTTTCTTCAGGATTGAATTAATTTTTCCTCCCTGAAAAAGCATTTTATCTGTACTTTACCTGCATTTTTCTACTTTCTTGGAGTTCTTTCTTTTTTCTCCATGTTGAAATTAGGCTCTGCAAAGCAACAACTTTTGCAGCCAATTCTGGAGTCCTGACATTCTCAGCCCTGATATTTTGACACTGTTTAAAGGGAAAAAAAAAAGGGAGAAAGGGTAGAATTCAAATTCCCACAGAAAGAGGCAGAAGCATCTGCTGGAGAAGGAGCATCTGGAAGGAGTATTCTTATTGAATGGTGGGGAAAAAAAAAAACATGGAAAAGAGGAGAGATTGTAACCTACAGAGGACAGCACAAGACAGCTCAGAAAAGATGGATATGATGAATGAACAGATGTCTAACATGGAACTGAGGGGAAAGGACCTGGAATTTGGCTTTCCCAGACTGCCAGTGGGTCCTTCACTGAAACAGCTGCCCGGGGTGCAGCTCAGCTCCAGGCAGATCCCAAAAACAGAGCTGGGAGCTTCTTCCTCAGCCTGCCAGAGGTTTCTCCAGCACAGAGCTGAGCCCTTGGAGTCTGCCTGACTCTGTAAGTATAGGGTGGGAAAAGCAGTGTCCCCCAAAGTGGGTAAGGGAATGATAAAGAGCAGAGGAGGGGGTGGAGAATCCCTGTGTTAGAAGGAGAAGGACAGGAAGACACCAAGGTGGGGGATTTGAGAAGGCAACAAGGTGGTGGGAGGTTGGAGTGCCAAGATGTGCTTGGAGAGAGCTGTTATCAACAGAGAATGAATCCCAGAAAGGTTTGGGTTGGAAGAGACTTTAAAACTCATCCAGTGCAACCCACTGCCATGGGCAGGCACAACTTCCACTACCCCAGGTTGTTCCAAGTCCCATCCAACCTGGCTTTGAACATTTCCAGGGATGAGGAAGCCACAGCTCCATCACCCTCTGAGTACAGGAGAGGGACCTGTGGGATGGAGTGGGACAGGAGCCCCCCTTCCCCAGCACAAGCATGAGAAGGAAAAAGGCAAAAAGAAACCCAGAGGAGATCTGCCAGGAACCTGGGAGCTGCTGGAGATGGGAAGGTGAAAAAGGAGCCTGGATGAGGATGAACTGGGTGGTGATCCTGGGATTTGAGGTTGAGCAGGTGACAGGGACAGGGCAGTTGACACTGGACTGGGGAGGTGATTTGGGAGCAGGATGGGGTTAGCACAGGGAGGTCCAGCTGAAGCTGGCCTGAGGAATGGTGTCAGCATTTGGGCTTTGGGGGAAGAAGCACAATGGAAATTTTTTAGTGTCCAGAGGAGAACCAGGAAGAGAGTGAAGGGTCTCAGGGGCTGCTTGAGGAGCAAATGATGTCACTGGGTTTGTTCATCAGGAGAAGACAGAGATCAGACCTCACTGAGGGCTGCAGCTCCTCCAGAGAGGCAGCTCCAATCTCTGCTTCCAGGGATGGGACCCAGGGAACGGCTGGAGCTGTGTCAGGAAGATTTAGGTTGGATATCAGGGAAAGGTTCTTCTCCAGGGGTGGTGGAGCACTGAACAGGCTCCCCAGGGAATGGGCACAGCCCCAAAGCTGCCAGAGCTCCAGGAGAGTTTGGACAATCCTCTCAAGCACAGGATGGGATAGTTGGGGTGTCCCATGCAAGGGGTTGGACTTGTGTGTCCCTTCTAAATCAGAATATTCTATGATTCAGTGTAGATTTTGTGATTTCAAGATGACTAAAGAGACAAACCCCTCTCCTATGAGGAAAGGCTGTGAGAAGTGGAGTTGTTCAGCCTGGAGAAGAGAGCCCTGGGGAGATCTTGGAGCCTAGGTCTTATGTGGCTGGAGAGGAGGTTCAGGTTGGACATTAGGAGGAATTTTTTCACAAAAAGGGTGATTAGACATTGGAACAGGCTGCACAGTGAGCTTGTGGAGTCACCATGCCTGGAGGTGTTCAAAGAATGACTGCATGTGGCACTCAGTGCTCTGACAAGGTGATGTTTGGTCATAGGTTGGACTCATTGATTTCAGAAGAGTTTTCCAACCTAAATGATTTTGTGATTCTGTGAAGTGATCTCAAGTTGTACCAGGAGAGATTTAGATTGGATATTCAGAAAAATTCTTCATGGAAAGAGTGGTCAGGCAGTGGAATAGGCTGCCCAAGGCAACCTCATGGTGGAACCCCTATCCCTGGAGATTTTCAAACCATGTCTAGATGTAGAACTTGGGGATACAATTTAGGCATGATCATGTCCATGGTTTAACAGCTGGACTCGGTGATGCCAGAGGTCTTTTCCAACCTAATTCTGTGATTCTGTAAGGGAGCTCCAAGAAAGCTGGAGAGGGACGTTGGACAAGAGCATGGAGTGACAGGACAAGGGGGAATGCTTTTAAATTGAAAGAGGTCAAGGCTAGATGGGATTTTAGGAAGAAATTCTTCCCTGTGAGGGTGTTGAGATCTGTGAGGGCAGAGTTTGTTCAGAGAATCATAGAATAAACCGAGCTACAAGGAACCCACAAGGATCATCCAGCCCAACTCCTGCCCCTACACAGGAGCATCCCCAACACTCCCATCTGTGCCTGAGAGCGTTGTCCAAGTGCTTCTTGAGCTCGGGTTTGGTGCTGTGACCATTCCCTGAGGAGCTGTTCCAGTGCCCAGTCACCCTCTGGGATCAGCACCCTCCCCCAGTAACCCACCCCAACCTTCCCCTGACACAACTCCAGGCCATTCCCTGACTCCCGTCCCGGCTCAGCACGGAGCAGAGCCCAGCGCGCTCCTCCTCTTCCCCTCACGAGGAAAAGTCGCAGATCGCGGTGAGGTCCCCGCTCAAGCCTCCCGTTCTCCAGGCCTCACCGCCGTGAGCTCCCCGGGCCGGGTGGGACGGGGCACGGAGCATCCCCGAGCGGCGGCCGCTGTCCGGGCTGTGGGAGGCGCCGCTCGCTCCGGTCGCTGTCGCCGCCAGGCGGCCCCGGCCCGTCCCGCGCGCCGCGGAAGCGCCGCCCCCGGAAGCGGCGGGCGGGGGGAGCGGGCACGGGGGGGGCAGAGCGAGCGAGCGCCCGGCGAACGGGCCGGGGACGCGGCGGCGGCGGCGGCAGCAAGATGGCGGCCAAGTCGGATGGCGGCGGCGGCGGCGGCGGCGGCGGCGGCAGCGGCTTCGCCCAGCTGCACAACCTGGACGAGGCGACGGCGGCCACGGGCGGCGGCGTCGGGGCAGCGGCGGCCGAGGTGGCGGAGGAGCCGGGCGCAAGCAGCTCCTTGCACATCTGCCACTGCTGCAACACGTCGTCTTGCTACTGGGGCTGCCGGAGCGCCTGCCTGCGGAACCTCTTCGGGCGGGCCGCCGCCACCGCCGCCGCCGAGCCGCTGGCCCCGCGCCCCCCCGCCGCCGCCGCCGAAGGGCCGCCGGAGGGCGGCGAGGCGGCCGAGCGGCCGTGGCTGGACTGCCTGTGGATCGTGCTGGCGCTGCTGGTGCTGGTGGGGGATGTGGGCACGGACCTGTGGCTGGCGCTGCACCACTACGGCCGGCGGGACTACGTGTGGTGCGGCCTCACCCTGGCCTTCGTGCTGCTGCCCTCGGTGCTGGTGCAGATCCTGAGCTTCCGCTGGTTCGTGCAGGACTACACGGGCGGCGGGCTGGGCGCCGTGCAGGGGCTCAGCAGCCGCGGGCCGCCCATGATGGGGGGGACCGCGGGCCGGCGTGGGGGACCCGCCGGCGGGGTAGGAGGAGCCGGCGGCACCGCCACCCCCGGGGCGCAGCGCCTCTGCAGGATCTCCGTCTGGGTCTGGCAGTCCGTCATCCACCTGCTGCAGATGGGGCAGGTCTGGAGGTAAGGGGCGGCCGGGGACTCCGCCGTGCCCCCGGCGGGGCGGGCGGCGCGCCGGGTCGGGGAGCGCGGCCGCGGAGGGGCGGCGAGCGCCCGGTGCGAGGGGGACGTGGGGCAGGGTCAGCTCCTGGTTTGAGATGGACGAGGGACAGTGTCACCTCCCGGTTTGAGATGGACGGGGCACAGTGTCACCTCCCGGTTTGAGATGGACGGGGGACAGTGTCACCTCCCGGTTTGAGATGGACGGGGGACAGTGTCACCTCGTGGTCCAAGGTGGACGTGAGTCAGTGTCCCCTGTGGTCCGAGGTGGGTCGGTGTGCGCTGGCCGAGGAGGGGCTCGTGTAGGTGGGTGTCAGCCCCTGGTTTGAGGCGGATGTGGGTGATTGTCAGCTCGTGGTCCAGATGGGCATGGATCAGTGTCACCCTCTGGTTTAAAATGGGTCATTGTCTCCTGGATGAAGTGGGGAGCTCTCAGCTCGTGGTCCAAGATGGACGTGGGTCAGTGTCACCTCCTGGTCCAAGGTGGACATGGGTCAGTGTCACCTCGTGGTTTGAGGTGGATCAGTGTCATCTCCTGGTTTGATGTGGGTCAGTGTCATCTCATGGTTTGAGGTGGATCAGTGTCATCTCATGGTTTGATGTGGGTGAGTCCCCTGGACAAGGTGGGGCAGATGGGGGTCAGTGTCACCTCGATGGGCTGAGGTGGGTCACTGTCCCCTAGCTGAGGTGGAGCAGATGGCCATCACTGTTACCTCATGGTGTGAGGCAGACGTAGAGCAGTGTCACCTCATGGCTTGAGGTGGATCACTGTCCCCTGGCTGAGGTGGGACCCATGGGGGTCAGTGTCACCTCATGATTTGAGGTGGACATGGGTCACTGTCCCTGGCTGAGGTGGGGAACATGGGGGTTACTGTCAACTTGTGGTCTGAGATGGACATGGCTCAGTGTCACCTGATGGTCTGAGGTGGTGGTGGTCAGTGTGGTGCTCCCCGTTTGGAGAAGGAGAGGAGATTTGGGGGTTATTCCAGCTTTGAGTGAGGAGAGACCCAAACGGAGGAGCAATTCCCATAAGATGAGCTTGGGGGGCTGAGGTGGGGGACATGGGGGTCATTGTCATCTCATGATCTGAGGTGAATCCTTTCCAGTGCTCCCCATGGTGGAAGAGGTGCCAAGGTCCCCCTTGTGCTGAGGGGACATTTGAGGGGAAGAGAAGTTCCCCCAAAATGTGTCTGTGGGGCTGAGGTGGGAAGAGTGGTGTTGGTTGGTACAAGCAGGACATGAGATGGTGCTCCGCACGTGGAGATTTGGGGTGACCCCTTCTTCACTGAGAAGAGCCCCAAAAGGAGCAGAGATGTCCTCCCAAATGAGAGTGTGAGGCTGGGGAGAGGAGAATAGGGCTCAGAGCTTGGAGGGGGCACAGAACTGTGTCCATGGTGTGGGATGGAAGGGATTCTAGCTCCGTGGGAATGAGATGGTGCTCCACAGACATGGGGCAGGATGGGGAGGGTATCATGGAGCTGCTCTGGTGGGTGCTCAGGCTAGGGGTGACCCTGGCAGTGGCAGCGCTGCAGAGGTCGGTCCTGTGGCCCTGGGGGGAACTCACCCCACCACCCCTCTCCCGGAGCCAGGAAAAGACCCCATGGAATTGCAGGGGCTGCTCCAGAGAGGGTCTGCAGGGGAATGGAGCCGTGGCTGCCAAGCACTGGGATGTGCTGGTTCCAGAGGGCTGATATCCCCCTGGCACCGATGCCGTAGGGATGAGGAGTGAGGGTCTCATCCATCCCCGAGAGCCTCTCCCCAGCCAGTGCAGCGGGAGCGGGAGCTGCTGGCTCGCTGACTCCCCCTGAAACGAAGGAGCGGGCGGTGGGAGTGGAAAAACGCAGCGTGATGCCTCGGCTGTGGCTTTGGAGAAAGGAGAAACCTCCTCGGTGGGGACGGCGGCGGTGGGGCTGAAGGTCAGGGATAAGGGACTGTTCCCTGCCGGAGGGAGAGGTCCTGGGGTGAAGGAGACACTGCCCGGAGGACAGGTCTAGGAAGTGACCTCGAGCTCGGCAGGAATAAAACAGCATCCTTCAGTGCGAGCTGGAAATTACGTTATCCTGCCCAAAAAGAGAGGTGGGAGGAGGCAGGGAGGGATTCTCCAGGATGAAAGCCTGTGGATGCAAACACTGCCACAGAGATGTCGGGCTTACGGAAAGAGGTGGTGTAAGGACAGCTGTAAAAACCCGGCGTGGCCCAGCATCCTCTGAGCTGGGGCGCGGGTTGGTAACGTGGAAGGGGTGTGAGATTTTGGGGTGGGGGTAGAGGGACAGCTCTGGGTTGTGTCACGGGGTGGTGGCTGCACTCCCTCCACCCCACGGATGGGTCAGGCTGTAGGGAAGAGGCTCCAGATGGGGGTCACTTGGCGTTTGTAGCTTTTAAAATAATCCTTAGGGATCAACGATTTCATTTTCCCCAAATTTTTTTTTTTTTTAAGAAGCCACGGGGGTGGAGGAGAGGGGATCTGGTTGGAAGGGTGCGTGAGATGTGTACGTGGGAAATAAGCCCATGCGATCATGCAGTGCAACAGCAAATACATATTTCTTCTGCATCTTCAATGTCATTTGTGCAGCGTTCAAAGCACATTTGTTCTCAACTTCTGCTTGGGGGTTTATTCTATTTTTATGGGTTTTTTACGGCCGGGATTTGGGCTGGGGGGTGGCGGGAGGGGGATGTCTGCGGGTGGTGCGTGCGAGGATGATGAATTGGTCCGCGACCCTTTCTGCTGCTTCCCCTGGTACTCCCAAGTGCTGATCCCGTCAGCAAAAGCGGTTCTCAATGCAGATGCTCCTCTGGCAAGTTGGATTTTTCCTTTCTTGGAGTCAGGCAGAAGAAATGGTTGTGTTTTAGCTGTGCACAAACACCCCATGCCCCAGCCTGCCTGAGCGAGCGCATGGGGAGGGGGATGCTGAAGTGATGCCGGCAGGGACAGAGGGGGGGTGCATGTGTGGGGGGCTGAATTTTGGGTAATAGGAAGAAACAAAGCTCAAGTTGCCCAGACTTTTCCCTGCTATGCTGATGCAGAGGAAAACAACTTGCTTCAGAGATTGTGCAGGGCTGCGAATGCCAAAGGGAAGTGACAAGGAGTGCTGCAGCCCGGATCACGTTAGGTGAAATCAGGGAGCTTTCTCTCCTGTTGATCTCTAATCCCACCAGTGCCCAGCTCCCGCTCTTTCAGGCGTGCTGGACAGCGTGGAGCCGACTCCCAATATCTGACCAGAGCCAGAATTAACTTCCTGGGATCCGTGGAGCAGCCTCCACGAGGGTGTCTTTTTGCATTCCCACTACAGCTATTACCAACACCATTAAAATTAATCTCGGATGTGGTGATGGGACTAACACTGAAACGCACTGCTTTGGCCACCTTTGCCTGTGGCACAATCTCTGCGTGCTGGGGAGAAGTTTAGACGTGGGGATGGAGGAGGAAAACCTAGGACAGCGTAAGTTCAGTGCGTAATGCTCCGAGCCTGGTTCCCCTGTGGGATCACGGATCCGCGCTGCCGCTGCATGGAGCGTAATCGGGATCGTACCTTACGTAGGGGATGGCGTGGGTGTTGCTCAGCAGCTGGGAGAGAAATCGTGGAGAATTGGAGGGAGGCAGGTTGGAGTAGTACAGGAATTCTCGTCCTGAATACATTAGGTAAATCTGCGTTTGGATTTTGAGGGATGACACAATTCCTGTGGCAGCTTCTTCTCGTAAATACTGGGAAGAGTCGCCAATAAGATGGTGAATAAATAGCATTTTATGGCAGAAATATAAATATACGTCGGGATCTTATTTTAGCAAGGCTGTCTCTTCATTTTGTCAGGATTGTGGGAGAAGCAGCTTGTTTTGGAGCAGTCTGGATGGGGGCTTTGTCTGTTTGTGTTATATTCAGAGGGTGGATCGTGACCAGGCAGGAGGGCTGAGGGGGCAGTGCAAGTGTGAGGGGGGGGTTAGTGATATTCCTGGGGTTTTTGTGTGTTTTTTTAGTTCAACTGGGATCTGGAGGATGTGTTAATACTGTCTGTCTATAGTGGCTGTTGGAAAAATAGTAAAAACATATGTGTGTGTATAGATATATATATATTTTGAATTCTTGCTAGAAGTAGTCTGATCTCAAATGGATGCCAGTAGTCTGATCTCCAATGCCATTCCCACCAATAAAGCTCAGCTCCTGGGGTTTTTACCTACATAAACCTACAATATTCACCTTTCTTCTCAAATCTTAGATTGTCTTGAGGTCTTAAACAATTCATCCAGACTATCCAAGAAGTGAAGGATGCCAGCTGGGTCTTGTTATGCTCATTACAGAGGTGCTGCAGTGCAAGCTGCCAAGGGCTGTTCCTTGAGGAGGGATGCTGTGGTTTTGCTGGAAACAGGATGGAAACAGGGCTGTTGCTTTTGCTGGAGCTGTTCAGCTCTGAAAATTCAGGAGAAATAGAAGTTTTGGTATCTTGAGTAGTTGCATAGGTTGTGTGAATGACAGTAGTGAATTTCCCCGTCTGCTGTACCTTTCCTTAACCTCTGCTGGAAGTGGGTTACTGGGTCATGGATGCTGCCCTGGAATAGGGGGTTTAGAGTGGAAAGTCCGATCCCTTGTGTTGTGCTGTGCTATTAAAGCAAACATTATTGGATTCCATTGGATTAACGGGATGTGGAGCTGAGCTAAAATGAATGCTGACCAGCTGGAAATCATTCTGTGTCTGTTAAACTATCAGTGATGGTGAGTTTTGGGACATGAGTGTGCTCTATTTATGGGGTTTGTTATTAAAACACATGTGAAGAGAGATCTAGGAGAAAAACATTTTGTGCAAGAAAACCCAGTAAACCACAACAACCCTTGTCAGTGTTGTGACATTAAAAATTATCTTGTGTACGTACATGGTGAGAAATTCCTAACATTTAGGCAGAGAGTTGGCATCTTTTTTTATTAGTGGAAAGACCAAATCTATGAGCTGTTCATCTTCGGAGGTGGAAGGAT